TATCATTTCGCATGAATAAATACGTAGTAAGGGGAAGGACCAGGATCCTCGCCGGATCCATTCCCACAATATACAATGAACGGACAGGATTGCGAGATCCCTAGGGAATGGATCCGGCGAGGATCCTGGTGCTAAGGGGAGTGCTATTTGCGCACAGGACGAACATCACAAGAGCTTTGATGGTGACCGGTAGCGCAAATTGCGTTCCCTTTACAGTACGTCGTATGGTTAAAAACAATATCGTAAGCTGTGCATGGAATATTATACGTATAAAACTCTGCATTTTCCTTACAGGTCATTTTTAAACCAATGGAACACTCAACGAGGACGGTTCAACATACCCCATTGACATCACGGATGTTGCTGTCATCGTCGGTGCAACCGAAGCACACGGTACGGCCGCGGCAAGGACGTAATTTAAAAAGAGAAAAGCATTGAGTGAGTGGAAGTTGCTAGGAAGTTGCAGCGACGGCCTTGTGAGGGATTTCTGCCGTTAAAGAAAGATCAACTTGGTTTTGGTCAATGTCGTGATTAATGAGGTAGGCCATTTAGTCGTGGAAAGCTCTTCCACCATTGACGATTGGAAACCACCAGGAAATTGCGTTTGTCATGCAATTTGTCCAAGTGGTGATTCCTGTGATCAAGTACTGCCTTTTTTTCTGAAAAGAAAAAGATTTTTCTGGACCAACTGTAGAGACTGAAGATAGGATTCGATGTGGAAATGGCAAGTTGGAGAAAGCGGAAGCCGATGGATGAGAATTTGTTTGAGGAAATTGTAGCGATTTCTGCACACTTATTTTCTTCTTTCGCACACTTATATTTCTGGCTATCGAATTAAATTAAATAAAGTGAGAGTTGAGGGACATAAATAAACATGGTGGTCTAAAAGGAGAAAATTCGTTTTGGGCCAAATTTCCTCAAGAAATTGAGCCGACGTGCTCAATTTGTGCGCATCCACACAGCTTCAACGTGCATGGCACGGGACAAAGCGTCAGCACTGGCCCCAGGTGCTGACGCCTTTTTTGGCCACTTGCAACGAGCCCAATGACTTTTTCTTTTTAATTTGACAACTATAAAAATTGGATCATTGGTTGATACAACGGTTCAAATTCGAATTGGTTTTTAAATCAAATTTATAATTCCATTACATCAAACAACAGAGATTGAACATCAACAAATCTAATGGTAAAAGAAGATCTCATGGCCCAAAATTAAAAAATTATTTAAATCAAATTTTACCAAAAAACTCTATAAATACCTATGTATTTGTTCAAACATATATACAATGCAAATATTTTCATGTGTTTCATATGGGTACAAGGGTTTTTTTATGTTGTTCCATGACTTTCATGTTTCATGTGATGCATATGTTATGAACTTGTGTTTAATAATGGGGTAGCTTGTGTGATTTTTCATTATATATCCAAATTTAACTATTTTTAGTTAAAATGTCTATAAAAACAAATTAGGATGATCTACATGAATTTTATTATTAGAAAGTTACCATAAAAACAATTTTGGCTGAAATCATTTTTTAATAATTTTGGGCTCAAAACTACTGAAGGAGAAAAATTGTTTCTGATTTATGGCTTAAATTTTTCTGGCATAAATTTTTAAGTTTTATCCCACACCACTGCACATGTGTTATTCTTGTCTTTCTGCTTTTATGCCTTTAGCTTTTAGGGCTCGTTTGAGACTGCAACTAAACGCTTTTACTCATAAGGGCTAACCACTTCTATTAGAAACATGTAGAAGTGTTTGTTGAACTATTAAATGCTTCCTAATGAAAACAATTGGAAGTGCTTTCTTAAGAAGCATATGTATGCGCTTCTCCAAAAAGTATTTTTACAACCCAAAAGTTTTTTATTGTGAGAAAATACTTTTATCCTTTCTAGAAGTAACCACAAACCGGCCTTTAATTGAAAAATATATGCTCAAAGATGCGATGCATTAGCAAAAGAAAAGAAGCTGCTATAAAAAGCCTGTTGGCATGGTAGAAAAGTCATTGTATACTTTTCAAAGGGCATTTTCTTCAATATTTTCGTGAGATACATCGAGTTTGCGTCTTTTTTTTGAATGCCAATAACAACTATTTAAAAACAAATGATGTGCAAATTATGTTGCTTTGGCGCTGCCACATTACCTGTCGGACGTCAAAGACAATCGTAATCAGCCGCCTTAGCAATATCATTTGAGAAGAAACATAAAAAATTATAACAAAAATAGAAAAAAATGACTGTAGTTTTTTTTTTTTGTCAAACGATAGATTTTGTTAGATTAGATGTTAGATTAACCATCTACGGGATTTGAACTCATGTCGTCATGCAAAAATTTAACACATTTTCACTACTGTGGTAAATGACCACTAGCAAAAATGACCGTAGTTGAAATACCAAAATGTGAGATAAATTAATTCATTTAGTCCCACAAAAAAAAACTAAATTCATTTATTTTATAGGGTTGTTGTATTTTATGCATATTGCAAAAGGAGGAAAAATAAATGAATTTAATGTAAATAAATAAAAGCATTGGTGAATGATCCAAGTCCGGCTTGGCGGCAGTTCTTTTCAAAAACCGTACACAAAGCAAGGACAAAAATGTACGGACAAAAATGTACGTACAAATGTTGGTTGTTACAACTAACAGCGGCTCCTCTAATTTAAAACTGTCATTAGCTGAATTAAACACTTGATATTTAATGTCGGACTCGAACCTTTCCCATTTGGGTGTCATAATTTGAAGGGATATTTGAACAAAAGGTTGGCTAGGAAATAAAATACCATAGATCGGCAACGGTTTTTTATGTTTTCTTTTGATTTGTGTTGATTAAAGTTTAATGTATACTTATGGGTCGCTTCAGGGCAGAAGGCTTCAAACCTAAGTATCCGACAAATCCAAACGTACTACTAGACATGAGATAGTTGGTAATGAATTGCTCATTTTAAGATAATTTTCTTTTGAAGCCGATTAAAAAAAAATAAAAACGATGAAATTTGGCAATCTATTTGCTTTTGTGTTCATAAAAATTCAAGACATGCAAACTTGTGGGTCATCTCCGGCCAAAAGGAGGGTTCAAACTTCAGCGTCGGCAAATTCGTACACAATAATTGACTAAGAGCTAACAATGACGAGTTTTGAATGATAACAAGTGGCACAATAGTAAAAGGGTGCGAATTGTGGCTTCCCAATAAACAAAAAAATGTGGAAGATTCTGGATTCAATATTTCGAGTTGATGAGTTTGCTTGATTGTGATCACGGGTAAGGTAAAATTTCTCATAGCCTCTTTAGGCCCGAAAGAAGTGAGTAATTGTGGCTTGCCACCAATTGTCTCCTTTTTGCTGTTAAAAGAAAAGAAAAAAACACACAATGATGAGTTTGGAAATGAATAAACGGACAATGAAAACAATTAAGATGAGAATAATCAAAGTCACATTTTTGAGAAAATTTTAACACGCGTTATTATATAAGTGGAAAGACATTTAAAAAATAAAAAATTTCTTCCAATTATTTAATAATAACTGATGTATCACTCCGTGTTCCGAACACACTGAAATTGTTTCCACATTTTCCATTTTATGGGGTCAAGTAGTCAATAAAGTAGTCAGTAAAAAAAAAAGACAACCCACGTTGCGGACCTTTCAAATATTCAAAAAAGATATAAATAAATAAACATCCACGTCAACTTCTATGTCTCAATGTGACTCTGTTCATAACACAACATTTCCAACAACCTTTCCAGTTATTTCCCTCTCTATTTCTATTTGATAAATTTCTCTGAGATAATCTTAGTGCTCATTTGGATGTCCTTTAAAATTACTAAAAATGTTTTTTGTGAAAATGTTTTTGGAATTAATCCTTAATAAAAATGCAAGTAAATTCTGGAAAAGCACTTAAAATGGTTCCTGAAAGAAGCACATAACTGGTGCTTCTTGTAGAAAACATTTTAAGTGTTTTTGGAACTAAATTTTCTTTTCTTCTAAAAGCGTTTTCAATCATTTTAAAAGCACATCCAAACCAGTCCTTAATCATTTCGTTTACATCGAGCTGGGATTTTTTTTGTCGATGTCTTTAGTGGGGACCCAAGTCATTCTTTAATAGGGAAATGGATCATCTACGGATCTTTTCCATTAAATCCATCAAGTTCAAGAATCTGAGTTGTTGAAATTTGATCAAATGACTACAAATAGGAGACCCTGTAAAAGTTATAATAACTGTGGCCGTTTGATCAAATTTCAACGATCCGAATCTTCGAACTTAGTAGATTTGGTGGAAGAGATTCGGAGAGGATCCTTTTCCGTTTAATAGTTGATTTTTCTTCCATTTCCCCCAAAGACAAAACTGGCAATTCCGTCATTTAAGTTGAATTGAGTGCTTTCCATTTCACAGAGCAATTACAAAAGAAGACTATCGACTCGGCTTTTAGCCAAAATGTTCGTTTAGCATAACTTTTTACTTTGATTTCTAATTTTTAAAATCGATAGAAATGGTTTTTGAAATTGTCCATCGTTAATTATTTTAATCATTCTGTAAAAAATCTCGGTTAAATTGAAAAACCCCCAGTTCCAGTGGAGGGGTTGATTTGACAAAATACCCTCAATTTAACCGATATTTTTCAGAGAAGAACCAAAATGATTACTATAGACAACCTCAGTGACTAGTTCTATTGATTTTAAATCTCAAAAACCACAGTCATGAGTTATGCTAATTTCAATGAACATTTTATTTAAAAAGCCTACCGATTCTAATGATATTTCTCTTTACAAGTTTTTTACAGTTTAACACATAGGTATAAACTTGTTTTATTTTTTATTTTTATGAATAAATAACTTCAGTATTCGTCAGCTTGTAAAGGCAATAAGGACTCTTTACTTACTCGTAATAAGACGTCTCTCAAAAAAAAAAAAAAAAAAAAAAAATGAAGACACAAGACCCCAGGTGTTTTGGTCTTTCTAAGAGTTGCCCTGACTATATACAATCATAACAAAGTTTCCCTCTCTTGCAGGTTTGCAGGAATTTTCTCCTTACCGAGAGAAAAACTTGTGTTGAAGCAGCCAATATGTTATCCTTTGGTCACACTCAACCATGTACTAGTCCCACCCAGCATAACAACTTCTCTAGTCGCTGCCAAAATTTCTTGTAAAGAGCCAAACAGTATTAAAAACCTGCTCTATTTTTTTATGGTTTGAGCAAGAACATTGTATTGACCAAATAAACGTGCTATTGCTGCTTGACAATTTTTGCCGACATGGTACATATACTTTCATCTCATTGTTAGCTACCCTTTTTTGCTTATAAATACAACCCAACCATTCACTTTAGAATGAACTCTCTTTCTATCAACTAGCTAGGTCTTCTTCCTCCTCCTTACTAACCACTAATCTCTTTCACTCTTAAACTCTTTAAGACCTAACAAGAAACATGGTAAGCAGCAGCGACATGGCCTACAATTGCGGCCCGTCGCTCCTTGACGACCTTGACACCGCCCTCCGAGCTAAGAGGAGGTGGCGGATGGCCTTTTTGGCGTTACGTGTTGTCCGTGTTATGCTTGAGCTTCCCAAAGAGATAGTATCCAGGGCAAAAAAGTATGGAGACGTAGAAATTGATCACAACAGTTTTGTGTCCGACGTTGATGATCATGAAGATGCTGGACTTGCAGAAACTGTGAAGGAAAAGAACTTGGCTGCTGCAAAAGGTACTTGCATTCAAACAGTAAACCTAATATTTTCATAAGAAGAATGATAAGTACAACTAAGCTGAATTTTCAACACGCTTTTCCTGTTGACCTAAATATTAAACTTATTTAGTGGGTGGTGTATCATTGTCCGCAACGTGTTTATTTATTTGGAACAAGAAATGAAGGAGAGCCGTGTTATTGCACTTTCAATCAAGTCATTTCATTATTAATTGCACTAACAAGGGAATCCAAAGTCATGTGGACCTAAGGGCTCACTCGAAGATACTTTTAAAATGATCAAAAATATTTTTAGTGAAAATATTTTTGAAACTAATATTTGATAAAAATCCAACTGAATCTTGCAAAAACACTTAAAGTGTTTCTAGCAAACAGTAAACATCTGATGCTTCTAAAAAACATTTAAAGTGCTTTCATTCATTTTGAAAACACTTCTAAACGAATTGTAATAATTTGTACCAAAGTTATCTTTCACCTGTTTATATTACCTTTGGTTGGGGTGAGTAAATAATCAAAATGGCTTGATTCTCATTTCAACATTAGAAAATAAGTAAACACTTGCACATATTTAGTTCGATTTCGATTTCAGATAGTTAGTAAACACTCAAGTAAATGAATACATCTAATGTAATTTATGTAAAAGATCAGGCACCCTTCACAAAATTTATATCGTACAAACAAGGTGCCAAACTTTAGGGACCAAATTGTTAACTACGTACTTAAACTGCAAGTGTGCGCCTAACACAAACGTTCTGTAAGAAGATTGAAATTTTAATAAAAATTTGGTGTTAGATTACATATTGGTTATAATCTCCCTATCATTAATTCAAATTTACTAATATGTATTTTATTCAATGTCTCCAATTAAATATTTAAATTTATTAGTAATTTATTTTTTGACCAATTTTTTTTTAATTCATTAGTTTTGTTTAGCGTTCTTCAAACTTAAAGGACTCAATTAATGTACATAAATATTAGTATTGAAATGTAAATGTATACACCAAAATCTATTATATTGAATTAATGTAACTAAATACCCAAATGTTAATACCAAAATGTATTTATATTGAATAAATGTACCTAAATGTTTGTATCGAAATGTATGTACCAAAATGTATGCACAAAAATGTATTATAATGAATTTAATGTACCTAAATGAAAAACACAATGTATATCGAAAGATATTGTATAACAAAAATTAGTTATCTAAATGTTTACAACATAATATGTTATGATTATAATGAAATATAATTAATACATTAAAATTAGGAGGAAAAAGAGAATTAAACATCAAAATATAATTAATAAATGAGGTGATTAATGTATCAAGGAACTATAATTAAATTTTGATCTTACTTATGGTTTTAGTCTAAAAGTCATATTTGTCAAGGATTAGAATGAAGTTTCCTATAATTTAATTTCACCCTAAAAAAATTTACAATTTTAAACCTAGAACCATTACTGTACTATCATACTTTTAAGGCTTTTGGATCTCTGAGATTGGTATAAATTCTCACTTTGTTTCTGAGATTTGAAAACTATAAAAGTGATCTATGAGATTGTACATTGTCAATCATTTTGGCCATTCCGTGAAAAACCTCTGTTAAATTGAGGGTAATTTTATCAAATCAACCCTTCCACTTGAACCATTGGTTTCTTCAGTTCAAGGGAGATTTTTCACAAACGGACCAAAATGGTTGACGGTGAATAATCTTAGAGACCACTTTTATAAAATTTTTAAATCTTAGGACCATTTTCGCTAAAAAAATCTACTTTTAATATGGCACAGCCTACTTTTTATAAAGAATGGTAAAGCCTACTTTTAATAAAGAATTGTAGAGTGAGACAATGGTACAACCATTATTGTAAAGTTTTCCTTCCGTATATCAAGTAATTGAAGCATGATAAAAAAAATGTCATTTCATACATAGTAGGAGGACCACCACAAGATGGGGAATTTCCCCATTGCATGCAGTACAAGAAACCTTTTGGCTTAGGGTGATTGACCACACAATTGAATGGTAGACCTTAAAAAAATCCTACCTAAAGTTTGGAGGGAGCAGCTTTCCATTTCACAAGAGAAATACAAATACAATGCTAACGTTGCTCGTGTACACATCAAGTCCTATACTTGTATTGTGTTCGGTTCAGGTCACTCATGTCGTGTCGTATCACACATTGCCTCTTTTTCAATCACCGACTGAATTTGGCTATAAAACAGAGCAAAATACACATGATAATGAAGTTCTTAATTTGTTTCAACTAGGCTCTCTTTCCGACTTTATTTTCTTAACTGTGTGAACTCTTCAAAGTTCTAACTGCTGAGAAACCATGTTAACCAGCCGCGATTCGCCTTATGGTTATGGCAAATTGCTCTTCGACATCACCACTACCACCCTCACCAGAGCCAAGATGAGATGGCGCATGGCCTACGCAACAATATATGCTGTTCGGGCCATGCTTTCGCTTCCCAAAGAGCTTCTAAACAAGAAAAACAACTACAAAAAGGACTCCGAGATCTTGCACTCTTATTCTTACACTGCACTGGATGTGAAACCAAGCACTTCCCACCAAGAAATCATTACTGAAACTGATCGGTGCAGTTTTCTCCCCAACACTGTATTTGATCATGTAGGACTTGTACGAGTGGTGAAGGATAAAGACTTGGGCGCTCTGAACCAGTTTGGAGGAGTTATCGGCGTCAGCACTTATCTCAAAACAAACCCTGAAAATGGCATCCCTGGAAATGAGCTAGAAGTCAACGAAAGGCGTGAAATCTTTGGTTCAAATACCTACCACAAGCAGCCTCCAAAAGGGTTGTTCTATTTTGTGCTGGACGCTTTGAAAGATACAACAATTCTGATTCTCTGTGTCTGTGCGGCGCTTTCTCTCGGATTTGGAATCAAAGAGCATGGAGCGAAGGAAGGCTGGTACGAGGGAGGAAGCATCTTTGTTGCTGTATTCATTGTCATTGTTGTCTCAGCTCTCAGTAACTTTAGACAAGAATTACAGTTCGACAAATTGTCTAAAATCAGTAGCAACATCAAAGTTGAGGTATTTAGAGACAAACAGAGACAAGAAATCTCCATCTTCGATATTGTAGTTGGAGATGTTGTGGTTCTGAACATGGGAGATCAAATACCTGCAGATGGATTGTTCCTAGATGGGTATTCCTTACAAGTGGACGAGTCAAGCATGACGGGAGAGAGTGACCATGTTGAAGTTGATTCTACCAAGAACCCCTTCCTGTTCTCCGGTGCAAAGGTGGTAGATGGCCATGCTCGAATGCTCGTCACATCAGTTGGGATGAACACTGCGTGGGGAGAAATGATGAGCTCAATATCGCAGGACTCAAATGAAAGAACACCATTACAAGAAAGGCTTGACAAACTAACCTCTTCTATTGGAAAGGTAGGCCTTGCAGTTGCCTTCCTAGTTCTTGTAGTCTTGTTGATTCGTTATTTCACCGGTAACACAAAAGATGATTATGGAAAAAAGGAGTACAGTGGTAGCAACAAAAATATAGATGGTGTGTTGAGCGGAGTAGTTCGCATTGTTTCCGCTGCAGTCACTATTGTGGTTGTGGCAATCCCAGAAGGTCTGCCGTTGGCCGTCACACTAACACTTGCTTACTCAATGAAAAGAATGATGAATGATCAGGCTATGGTCAGAAAACTACAAGCTTGTGAGACGATGGGATCAGCAACCGTTATTTGTACTGACAAAACAGGAACTTTGACAAAAAATGAAATGGAAGTGACTCAATTTTTTGTTGGCCAAGATCTCATTGAGAAAGATAATTCAATCACATCAATTGTTCGTGAATTATTCCATCAAGGAGTTGGCTTGAACACGACCGGAAGTGTTTACATGCCTCTTTTGGGATCAAAACCCGAAATTTCTGGTAGTCCAACAGAGAAAGCGATTCTCCATTGGGCTGTTTCAGATTTGGGTATGGACATGGAAAAGTTGAAGCCTAGTTATGACATTCTTCATGTTGAAACGTTTAACTCAGATAAGAAACGAAGCGGGGTTCTTATAAAGAAGAAGAATAACACCATCCATGTGCACTGGAAAGGAGCTGCTGAGATGATCGTTGCAATGTGCTCGAGTTATTATGAAACCAACGGGACTGTAAAGTCCTTGGATGAAGATGGTAGGTCAAATATTGAGAAAACAATCCAAGGCATGGCAGCTAGTAGCCTCCGGTGCATTGCTTTTGCTCATGCTCAAATTTCAGAGAAAGAAATTGAATACAGCAACAACAAGGCCCACCCAAGGCTAAAAGAAGATGGATTAATCTTGCTAGGGGTAGTTGGTCTCAAAGATCCATGTCGGCCAGGGGTCACCAAAGCTGTGAAAATATGCATGTCTGCAGGCGTGCAAATTAAAATGATTACCGGAGACAATGTTTTCACAGCTAAAGCTATAGCTACAGAATGTGGAATACTAAAGACTGAGGATGTGGAAAATGGTGATCAAGTGATAGAAGGAGCAGAATTCCGAAACTACACACCGGAAGAGAGAATGAAAAGGGTCGATAGAATTTGCGTGATGGCAAGATCCTCCCCGTTCGACAAGCTATTGATGGTGCAGTGTTTGAAGCAGAAAGGACATGTGGTTGCAGTCACAGGAGATGGCACAAATGATGCACCTGCATTGAAAGAAGCTGATATAGGACTTTCCATGGGAATCCAAGGGACGGAGGTGGCAAAAGAAAGCTCAGACATCATCATCTTGGACGACAACTTCAATTCTGTGGCCACAGTTTTGAGGTGGGGGAGATGTGTTTATAACAATATACAGAAGTTCATCCAGTTTCAACTAACCGTTAATGTCGCAGCTCTAGTAATCAACTTTATCGCCGCAGTTTCAGCTGGTGAAGTTCCCCTAACAGCAGTTCAGTTGCTGTGGGTGAATCTCATCATGGATACACTAGGCGCTCTCGCCCTTGCTACTGAACGGCCAACAGATGAGCTAATGCAGAAGAAACCTGTAGGTCGAACTGCACCACTCATAACCAATATTATGTGGAGAAACCTTTTATGTCAAGCTCTATATCAAATAGCCATCCTCTTAACCTTGCAGTTCAGTGGCGAGTCCATCTTCAATGTCACTGCTGCGGTGAATGATACTTTGATTTTCAACACGTTCGTACTCTGTCAAATTTTCAACGAGTTCAACTCGAGGAGCATGGAGAAGCAGAATGTATTCAAAGGAATTCACAGGAACAAATTGTTTATTGGAATTGTGGTTATAACTATCGTTCTTCAAGTTGTGATGGTGGAGTTCCTGAAGAAGTTTGCAAGCACAGAGAGGTTGACTTTGTGGCAATGGGCAACTTGTGTCGCAATTGCAGCTGTTTCATGGCCAATTGGTTGGATCGTGAAGTGCATACCAGTTCCAGATGAACCGTTCTTCAAAACTATCAAGAGGTCACTCACTAACAAAAGAAATGTGTGAGCATCTCGGACTCCAAGTCTTGGGTTTGGCTCGAGAACCAAGGTCCAGGTTCCGGAGTTCAGGGACCAGGACAAGATGCCGGATACCTGAGCTCAAAGCTCAAAGGCGTAAGCTCAGGGCTCAAGGTCCAAAGTGGAGCTCTAGGCTCTAGGCTCTAGGTTTGGGACTCAGCGCTCGGGGTTCAAGCTCTACATCCCTAGCTTGGAATCTAGGTTTGAGTATTTGATGCTCGGAGTCAATGCCTACGGCTTGGAGTCTTAGGCTCGAGTGAATTTGTAAATTTGGAATGCTCATTCCCAAACTATATATGTGAACCAAGAAAACGGAATGACCATTCCATAAGGATGCGTAAACCCTAATAATCCAAATGTTACCTAAGATACGGATTATTATGGTGTAAAATAATAAGTTCCAAGATAAGATTCCATGTATCTGAACTTGTAAGTGTGATGTTTGTAGGAGATGTACAAGAGTGCATAAGCCGAATTTAATCATTTTCTAACTTCAATAAGATTAGTTCATTGTTTATAAAGCACAGGAGCAAGGCGGAGATTAGATAAGATCAGTTATACATGTTTACATTCAAGAATAGGCTTAAAACAAAAGACTCGAAAGAGCGGAAACTGAAAGGATGTAGTAAATGAACTCTAATCCCGACTTCTGCATAATTTCAGTGAATAACATGTAAAACAATCTGACAGTGACATTTCTTTTGATTATTGTAAGAGTTATTGAAGATTGCTAAACCCTAATCATGGTTTAAGACTATTTAATTACAAAGACAAACATCAGCAAGTATGAACTGAGCAGGAATAGGAATTGGAGATTACTTACATAAACCAACTACTGGTGGAACATGGCAACAATCCCTTTCACAGGAGATATTTGGCCGTGTAACCGTTGTAATGTCTCTCCCTCCCTCTATCTTTCTCATCACCTGACGATCGAGAGTTGGGGGGGACATTACGACGGTTACACCCAAGATCTTGCCCTTTCACAGCCTTCCCCTCACATTATTACCTGCAGGCTGCAGCAAAATTTCCAGTTAATATCTGAGATTAAACAAAACCAAGCTGCTTCCTTTAAGACAACCCATTTAATCATTTTCAACAAACTTTTAGGAAAAAAAAAAAAAAACCAAATTACACACAGAAACTCCAGAAATTTCCTATTGAGAAGATGAATCAATCAATCAATCACCCCCATCACCCGTTACAATTAAGTGAAGGAGTAAAGGAACACCCTTTTAATTTGCATGCTTTTCTCTCATTGAATTCACATGGAAAAAAGTTCAAATTTACCGATTTTTTGAATCAGATTAATTACCAAACTGAACAGTAAGAAAGGGAAAGGCAAAGGCAAAAACAGAGAGTAAAGTATAAGTTTTTTGAAAACTCACTGGTACTGCACGTTTACATGTTGCTTGTGAACTGCCAAGTATTCTTCTTCGGTACAGTGGAGAGAGAGAGAGGGAGAGAGAGAGGGATTGGGCGCGCCAAATAAACAGATTGTACCTGCAATTTTGCAGGATGCTCTTTGGTCTTGAGAAATTGAGTGATTTGAAAGCAAATGGAACACAAAAGGTCAGTAATGTCCTTTCATTTTTAATCATGATGTAGGGCAGAAGCGACATTGTCTATTTTACATACGTCACACATTGGCCGCACAGTTTTTTTCATGTTTTTTTTAAGAGACCAGCTCGTGGCGAAGTCATCGAATCTAATTTTTTGAAAGTTGGAAGAACTCGTATAGGTGTTTCAACCACTTTTGGCCCCTCACATGTGATCACCAACACAAAGAATGGAACCCAAAACAAGCCATGTGGAACGTGAACTTGAAATTCAACACGTCCAAGAGGTTCCGCACATACAATTCCGACACCAAACTAAAAATGCAGTTCTCTATTTTCTGGGTGGATCATTTTCTTAATTTGTTTTATTTTTTGTTCAGTTTTCATGTTAGTTTGCAGATTCTACATCAAATTGGTGTGACAGCCTCCAATATGTCAAATTACAAGTTTCACTTGTATCGTATCGTTCAATTCGGGAGCAAGTTTTCATAAATATCGTTCACCTAAATATATCAACATCACAATGGACCTAGTGGTTGAACTTAATTGGATACCTTCTTTAGTCTTTGTAGGGCCTTGACTCCATTACCATATCAAGGGTATATGAAAAGAAAATAAAAAACCCTCTTAAGAGAGAAGAATCGAACTCAAGATCTTATACAACAACAACAACAACAACAACAACAAAGCCTTTTCCCACTAAGTGGGGTCGGCTATATGAATCCTAGAACGCCATTGCGCTCGGTTTTGTGTCATGTCCTCCATTAGATCCAAATACTCTAAGTCTTTTCTTAGAGTCTCTTCCAAAGTTGTCCTAGGTCTTCCTCTACCCCTTCGGCCCTGAACCTCTGTCCCGTAGTCACATCTTCGAACCGGAGCGTTAGTCGGCCTTCTTTGCACATGTTCAAAATCACCGGAGCCGATTTTCTCTCATATTTCCTACAATTTCGGCTACTCCTACTTTACCTCGGATATCCTCATTCCCAATCTTATCCTTTCTCGTGTGCCCACACATCCCACGAGGCATCCTCATCTCCGCTACACCCATTTTGTGTACGTGTTGATGCTTCACCACCCAACATTCTGTGCCATACAACATCGCTAGCCTTATTGCCGTCCTATAAAATTTTCCCTTGAGCTTCAGTGGCTTTACGACGGTCACACAACACGCCGGATGCACTCTTTCCATCCAGCTCGTATTCTATGGTTGAGATCTCCATCTAATTCTCCGTTCTCTTGCAAGATAGATCCTAGGTAGCGAAAACGATCGCTTTTTGTGATCTTCGCTAGATTGCTCCGGTCATTAGTGTGGATAAGTATATAAATGGATAGAGTTAGGAAAGCAAAACACAAGATGTACGTGGTTCACCCAGATTGGCTACGTCCACGGAATAGAAGAGTTCTCATTAATTGTGAAGGGTTTACACAAGTACATAGGTTCAAGCTCTCATTTAGTGAGTACAAGTGAATGATTTAGTACAAATGACATTAGGAAATATTGTGGGAGAATGATCTCGTAATCACGAAACTTCTAAGTATCGGAGTGTGGTGTCGTCTTGACTTGCCTTATCTGTCTCATAGGTAGATGTGGCATCTTCTCTGGAAGTACTCTTCCTCCATCCAGGGGTGGTATCTTTAACTGGTGGAGATGCACAAGGTAATGTATCAATTTCACTTGAAGCTTACTTGTAGTTTCAGGCTTGGTCAAGCGCGATACAAACCATGTAGTAGGAGTCCCCCAAGTCGCCGAGCTAGGGGGTCTGCTGAAAGAGGTGACAGACAAGGTAAGCAATCAGAGCTCCGACTGATTGTTCACCTTCTCCCCATCTTGCAGCAGCATGAAGGATAAAGAGAAGAAAAATGAGAAGAGATGATATGAGATACTTTTGCTTTTGAAGAAGTAACTTTCCACAGGCTTATTCTTGAACTGAGCTGGAGGGTTTTCTGGTTTCCTCCAGAGTATAAGGCCGACTGAAGAATTTGAGGGTCAAAACAAGTCCATCAAATCTAGAGTACGTTCCACCCTGCTGATATGGGATACTTTTGCTTTTGACAGAGTAATGAATGTATCGGCACGTGTGCTGTTTACGCTTGTCTCCACATGCTTCCTTGTATCCTTCGCACTTGCCCTATCTGTTCCTCAAGCAGATGCAGAATCTTCCCTGGAAACATAAGATGTTGAAGATGAGTACTCGAGAGCAATGCCAGGTAAGTAATCAGGTAAGGGGTTCCAGGCAGTCAGTTCCTGGCTGGAAGCTTGATTCCAAGTGCTGACTGATTGCTCTCTTTCTCCTTGTCTTGCAGGTAAAAACAAGGCCAAAAGAAAAGACAGGGAAAAAGCATGATATGGGATACTCTTGCTTTTAACCCTGATGATATGAGATATTCTTGCTCTAGTATAGCTTGTTTGCAAAGGTATTATCGGGGGGAAAGAAAGCTGAATATTTCGAAAGGCTTCGTTGGGAGTGCCCTCTCAGATATGATGAAGGGTTGAGCATTTTTGCAGGTCTGCCTGTCCGTTGGGGATGGAGGTCGACATATATAGGAGTCTCCCTAACAACAAGTAGTAATGCTATTCCTTTACCCTGCTTGGTCATAGCACGGTAGTGGGAGCTGCCAGTTTCACATGTTTTAACTCTGTCAGAGCACTTTGAAAAAAGTGGTCTGTGGTATCTGGCTCTCGAGATTCGAAGAACGATGCCTCTTCGATTTTTGAGAAAGCAATCATGCTGGGGGTATGACTCTCGAGATTCGGAGAGCAGTCTCTTCGATTTTTGAGGAAGTAATCATGTTGGGAGTCTGGCTCTCGAGATTCGGAGGGCGGTGCCTCTTCGATTTTGGAGCAAGCAATCTTGTTGGGGAGTGTTGTCTCGAATGTGAGTAAAGGTTGGGCATGTTTGCTAGTCTACCTTGCCACGAAGCACAAAGGTTGACACACAGGGACTTTCCAATTATCCAGCAATGGTACTGTTCCTTTACCCTCTCTTCGATTTTGAGAAAGTAGTCATGTTGGGAGTCTGGCTCTCGAGATTCGGAGGACGGTGCCTCTTCGATTTTGGAGCAAGCAATCTTATTGGGAGTGTTTTCTCGAATGTGAGTAAAGGTTGGGCATGTTTGCTAGTCTACCTTGCCACGAAGCACAGAGGTTGACACACAGGGACTTTCCAATTATCCAGCAGTGGTACTGTTCCTTTACAGTTGTGGGTAATAATATGGTAGCTAGACCTTCAAAATTTATGTGTCTAAACTTTTGTTAGTGCTGTTTCTTTGCTATTCTTTTACCTTTCTTGGTCAGAGCGATGTAGTGGGAGCTGCAAGCTTCACGTGCTCAACTTTGGCAGAGAACTTTGGCAAAGTTATTTGGTGGTACCCATGAGCTATTGTTGCGTGTGGGAAGTGGGTGATTGAACAGTAAGATTCATGTGCTTTCTACTTCACCAGAAGTCTTCGACAGAATGCCCATAATTTCTGCAAAGCTGAGTGTGCGTGTGACAGGTGCTGACAAGGCTAGAAAAGTAGGTGCCTCTTCGATTTCTGAGATCGGCCCTCGTGGTCTCTGAGCAGCCCAGCTTTTGAGAAAGCGAGCGCCTCTTCGATTGATTCGGAGAACGATGCCTCATCGATTTTTGAGAAAGCAATCATGCTGGGGGTCTGGCTCTCGAGATTCGGGGAGCAGTGTCTCTTCGATTTTTTGAGAAAGTAATCATGTTGGGAGTCTGGCTCTCGAGATTCGGAGGGCGGTGCCTCTTCGATTTTGGAGCAAGCAATCTTGTTGGGAGTGTTTTCTCGAATGTGAGTAAAGGTTGGGCATGTTTGCTAGTCTACCTTGCCACGAAGCACAGAGGTTGACACACAGGGACTTTCCAATTATCCAGCAATGGTACTGTTCCTTTACCCTCTCTTCGATTTTTTAAGAAAGTAGTCATGTTGGGAGTCTGGCTCTCGAGATTCGGAGGACGGTGCCCTCTTCGATTTTGGAGCAAGCAATCTTATTGGGAGTGTTTTCTCGAATGTGAGTAAAGGTTGGGCATGTTTGCTAGTCTACCTTGCCACGAAGCACAGAGGTTGACACACAGGGACTTTCCAATTATCCAGCAGTGGTACTGTTCCTTTACCCTTGTGGGTAATAATATGGTAGCTAGACCTTCAAAATTTATGGGTCTAAACTTTGTTAGTGCTGTTTCTTTGCTATTCTTTTACCCTTCTTGGTCAGAGCGATGTAGTGGGAGCTGCAAGCTTCACGTGCTCAACTTTGGCAGAGAACTTTGGCAAAGTTATCTGTGGTACCCATGAGCTATTGTTGCGTGTGGGAAGTGGGTGATTGAACAGTAAGATTCATGTGTTTTCTACTTTCCCAGAAGTCTTTGACAGAATGCCCATAATTTCCGCAAAACTGAGTGTGCGTGTGACAGGTGCTGACAAGGCTGGAAAAGGCTGGAAAAGTAGGTGCCTCTTCGATTTCTGAGATCGGCCCTCGTGGTCTCTGGGGAGCCCAGCTTTTGAGAAAGCGAGCGCCTCTTCGATTTTTTTAGATCGGCCTTCGTGGTCTTTGAGCAGCCCAACTTTTGAGAAAGCAAACGCCTCTTCGATTTTCTGAGATCAACCCTCGTGATCTCTAAGCAGCCCAGCTTTTGAGAAAGCAAACGCCTCTTCGATTTCTGAGCAGGCGCCTCTTCGATTTCTGAAGCTTCGTCGAGTGCAGATTTTTATAGGGGCTGGCATTAAGTTCCAAAGCACACTTGAATCTCCACCAGTAGAAGCTTCATTCTTGCACTTCTAAGATCTTGATTTGTCCGACCTCTTCTCTCTTCAACACCTTTGAAAATGTCTGGCCCCTCCGACCATCGTTTTGACTTGAACCTTGTTGAAGAGGCAGCCCCGCCTTCTCCAGACAACATATGGCGCCCATCCTTCGTCTCTCCCTACTGGTCCTCTTACCGTTGGGGATTCCGTGATGAAGAATGATATGACCGCTGCGGTGGTGGCCAGGAACCTTCTCACTCCCAAAGATAACAGACTACTTTCCAAA